ACGTCGGACATCCCGGCAAACATGACGAAAAGAAACAAACTAGACACGTTTATCGGCATAATACACCACACCGACCCCGTCATGTCGAAGGATTCCATCTGTCCGCGGCGCAAGACGCAGGCAAGATCTCATGTCAAATTCAACGTCAAAAGTATTGAGGATGGTTCACTTTACGCCACTTTGATAAAGAATTCTGGGCTTCGCCTCTTCGTCAAACCCATTGAATGGACCAGTCTTCACCTTACACTTCTCGACATGGAGTTCCACAATCTTCCTCCAATTACTCAGCCTGTACCGACGGTCGGCTCGTCGAAAGCTACGATAGATCTATCTGCTTCGGCACAGGCTCTGCTTGGTGCCCTCAACAACCTTTTGGAAACCAAATCAACAGAATGCCGGACACGCTCAATTCCCACCGTCATTTCGATGCTGTACCCTCAGCATATTTCATTTCTAGAGATTTCTGAACTTCATCAATACTTTGGCGGTCGAGCCTATTGCGTTGATTGTCCCGTACAGGCAGCCTGGGATGTAACGCCAGCGCGCTCCAGCTACACGACTGCTAACGGATCGATGTCCATGCGAGCTGAAGAATGTGTCGAGGGTCCAATAATGGATAGCATTGATGGACGTAATGTAAGAACACAGCCTATACTTGTCTACGTCGACCTCAAAACAATCACCGTTACACGGCGTGCTAGATACAAGCCGCCCCGGAATAACCCGCCAGTCCGGAGGCTTAGGAAGTTATTGTACAGAAAGGCAACCCCTCCAAATATGGTGGAAGATCCGTTTCTTGCCGCCGTCATTCTGGCGTTAGCACAACGGCCCTTCTACAGGGCGGCCCCTCCATCCGCTGACAAGCCGTTGATGTCTTCACCCGAATCGTCATCTCTCGGAGAGCCTATATTTCAAGATACAACGGTGTGCATTCTGGCTGTCAATGACAAGGAACCCTCTGCTCCTTGCTTCATCTTGTATAGAGGAAAAGTCAGGAAAGAGCTTTTGCAAAAGGTCCATAATCCGACCAAGAACTATCGAGTAAAAGAAGAAGAGGCATTAGTTGGAACACTGAAAGGCAGCACAAACACGCAAATCGAGTACACCGAGGTACAGATCTGGCCAATACTAGGACTTAAAGAGCGACTAAGCAAAGCTCTTGGCAAAGAAGTCGCAGGCCCCTTCGATGAGAATAATATCGAAATGTGGGAGCAAGACCTGAAGACGAAGACCCAGACCCAGAGCCGAAGATCCGAAACCGGACGCTAGCAATCTCAAGGAAGGAATATCTGGGAGTTTGGCAGACTTCAGAAAGAGCGACAACGAAGACCCGTTAGACATCATGAAGGTCAATCTACCAGACACTTTACTTACAGTGGTTGCACCTACGGACGGGCCTGATGGGACGATTGAAGATAGATCATCACAACTACGCCGTGGCTTACCGCGGAATACTCGATCACTGACGAATAAAAATCTGATGAGTTGTTCCGTTCTTCATCAACACGATGTGGAGAGATTTCGCCAGGTATAATCGGCGGCATGATCGGCTGGCATATTCGGGTGGCATACTTCTTTTTCTTTTCCAAACCGCCACGAGTGTGGTTATAACTGGCAGGCGAATAGTCCAATGTATCTGGCTTCAGCTAGGATTGTGCAGAGATTGCCGAATTGAACGTCACGTCTGTAGATCCTCTGCTCAGGTTGTTGAGTTTTCGTGCACGGCAGTTTCCTGTTAACTGCTCAGGTCTGGTTCTCTGCAGATGTGCTTTTGTGCGCCTTTGCTCCTATACAAGTACACAGGGGGTCATATTTGACTGTTGGCGG